TCCCCCCCCGCCCCCCTTTCCTTGCTCCCATCAGGGGGCCGTGTGCAAAGGCTTTCCCGCCTTACAGCCCAACTGACTTTAGCGCCGCTGAACCCTCCACGAAGGGCCGTGTGCAAAGAGCCCGCGCTGCCTACCACAGCGGCTCCCAGGGCTCCCGTCTCACCCAGCCCTGGGGCGAGGGGGCAAAGCGGCTGCCTTTCCTCGTGGTACCCTTGTTCCCCCACCTCCGCCTTGTGTGGGGCCACTAGTGCAAAGGCTCTTCACACCTTCTTCCCCTCACACTTTTGCCTCCCTCCCTCCAGTCACGTACAAAGGCCTGCCTGGCTCGGGGCAGGGAAACATTTTGCACCCTGTGCTCTGTTGTAAGGTTGCCCTGACGCTCTGGCGCAGCCAGATTAACCACAGCGGTGGGAGAAGCCCTTCCACCCATGTTGGAAGTGCCCACGCTATGGCACTCCAGGGGCACCGCTGTGGTGTAGACAGAGCCAAAGGCTCTTCATTCTTTTTCTTCTCCCGCTATCGCCTCCGTCTCTCCGCCCCGCGTCACGCCACATGCAAGGGCTCTTCCTCGTGCCCCATTGCTTCCCACCCAGCGCCATTTGCAAACACTCTTGCCCCCTCTCTACTCATGGCCTGCCGCACCACTCCCAGGGCCACATGCAAAGACTCCACACCTTTCCCCTTCCTGCTGTTAACCTAGACGTCACAGGGGCTCGCCTGGGGAAGGAAAACGGGGGTTGCAGTTCGTTGGAAGAGGGGGAATCTGAGCCCACTCCTGGGGACGTGTGTAAAGCACAGAGCCATTGAAACACCCACACTTGTGTAACAGTGTTAGACTTATATTCTGTAATAGTTACAGATTGAGCGGGGTCCGTTGCCCGGTGTGCATCACGCCAATAAACACACCAGGGTGGAGAAGCAATCAAAGTTTATTTGAGATCTCAAAGTGGTGCAAGGAGACAGGCACGTCTCAAATCAAGCACACCAACATAAGCAGCCTTTATCTTTTATACAGTTTGCAGCTAACCCTTTCCCTTCTTCCCCCGCCCTTTCTCACCCCCCCTCCTCCATTCCCACCTCTCCCCCTTTCTCCCTCTGGTTACATTACACGACCTTGGCTGTGCAGCTTGTTCTCACTGTTTCTTTCTGCAAGTAATCTTGTCCTTTAGAGTAGCATGTAGGTTTCCCTTATCACTACTGCTTCCCAGCTGCTGGCCTGTGAGGTTAGTAAAGTTTAACATGCAGGAGCTTTGATTCACTTTGGCCTAGAGCGGGGGGGCTTCATCGACTTTCGGGTCTTCCAACCCCCCGAGTTAGCTAGGGTGATGCCTAGTGACATCTACAGGATCATAAAAACATTAGATCATATTGGATAGTCCATCTCACAGAGGGGAATAGGGCATATACACGATAGGACAGACACAAGTGTAGCCTAATATATAGGGTGACCAGATAGTAAGTGTGAAAAATTGGGACGGGGGTGGCGGGTAATTGGCATCTATATAAGAAAAAGCCCCAAATATCGGGACTGTCCCTTTAAAATTGGGCCATCTAGTCACCCTACTAATGTATATGGCAATTTCTGAGGAAAAGTATTAAAAGAGGACTATATTCCCTATTACTTTTTCATTGTTCTACATTTCTTTGCCAGAAATGGAATTGGTTTTGTTAAAAACTTTTTGTGAACTGTATTTTGAAAAAGATGTATTGTGCAATATTTAAAAACCAATAACATCTAAGTTAAAAATTAAACTAGACAAATATCAAGCCGTATCTCAGGTTTTGCTTTTATTTAGTAAAAAAGGACAAAAATATCAAAGTTTCAGCTAATAAGCACTTTAATTAAGTGTCCTTTACTGTCCTGGTGCTAGCTACACAATACTGTACCAACACTGATCACCACAAACTAAAGCTTCTGTGGGAAGTAATGCATGTAAAATCTTACAATCAGCCTTTTAAGCAAGTTTTGAGAAAACATCTTTGATTGTCATTTAACAATTTAAAATTAATAAAAACCTCATTCTGAAAGATTATACTAGCTGTTATCCTAGTACAATTCTTGGGGAATTAACATACTAAGGTTGGGTCTACACTGGGGGGAGGGAATCGATTTAAGATACGCAAATTCAGCTACGCGAATAGCGTAGCTGAATTCGACGAATCCAAGCCGACTTACCCCGCTGTGATGACGGCGGCAAACTGACTGCCGCAGCCCCCGTCAACGGCGCTTACTCCTACCTGCGCTGGTGGAGTACGCGTGTCGATTCGGGGATCGATTGTCGCGTCCCAACGAGACGCAATAATTCAATCCCCGAGAGATTGATTTCTACCCACCGATCCAAGCGGGTAGTGAAGACAAGCCCAAAGACATTAATTACCAAGAAACCCAGGAAGCAGGACAAGGTAGAAGACCTAACATAGGTTCTGAATTATCATGCATGCATCTTTCTGTAATACATCACCTACCAAGATTATAACATGAGTATTGCCAACCCCAAGCATTCAAAAATGATGAGTCACGCCCCCGCCCAAAATCATGAGATTAAAAATACATTTAGGGTGCTTTTTATTTTCCTTCTGGTCTTTGAGCCTGTAGGGGTTCACTTGGGGCACATTTTCAACCTTTTATCCACAACCATGAGCACTAGAAACACATTTAAAAAAATAAAAAGGCTGAGATCCTCACATAATCACAAGAATCCAAGATCTTTGAGAAAAAACACCAACAGTTGTGATACGTGAGATAAAATTGTGAGATTACTTACTGTCAGGAAATCTCACATTTAACATTGACTTTGGTGCCATAGTACATCGTATCATTAGGGCTGCCAACCCTCC